TCTCCCTAAACCTCACAGCCATACTTTTTTTACTCTTGATATACATTTGCATATTTACATCTTCTACTTCCTTATCAGATGTAAATACGATATCTAAACCAAGGTTACAGCAGTGCAAAGCTGTCACTTTGACATACTGCATCACTGCAAACAAGGATAAATGTCCTTCATGGTATATAAAAAAGGAAAATAACAATTGGAAAGCAAATCATATCCAGTTAGGACTGGACTTTTGTTACATATGGATCTAGTAACTGCTATCCTGGACCAGGTTGTCAGTTGGCTTACTTCATTATTCTGTCCCCAAGACTGACTAATAGTAGTGGTTTCCAGTGAAGATGCACTGGAATAATACACTGTATAATATACTTTTATGGAATAACCTGCCTGTAAGAAATGTCTTCCTAATCCTCCTTAATTCAATGATTAGCTTGTGCCCTGAAACATGAGTGTTTATATCCTTCCTGTCAAAAATCCTCATATAACTATTAATATTTTTATTAGTTACACAAATATCTAATGCACAACTTCTCAAATAGCAGACCTCAACTAGATTCAGATAATGAGTAAATTTTGTCTAGATTGTGTTGAGGTCCCAGACTTACTAATTCTCCTGCGTTCTTTTGGAAGATCCTGTATTTCTTACCATTTCCCTGGCGCTTAGGGGTGGTGGTGGGAGCTGTACTCTGGCTGCAGTTCTCAGCTGTGCAGGCAGCGCGCATTGCCTGGCTAGCCTGGCAGAGCTGGGATCGATGTCTTGCTTTTTGCTGAAAAAAATGATGCATCATTCTATAAAGAGTAATTGATTAGCCTTAGTCAAAGCTTTTCTGAGCAAATCTCTCTCTTCCTGCCGCTCATGTAACTACTTTTTCACCCTTTTAAAAATTTTGCTCATAACTGGTATTATTTAGTTGTGTCATGCTGGGTTTTTTTGTGAATATTGAAAAAAGAATGCTGTCACAGGGGCAAAGTTAGGGAAATAGCCAGGAGTCATGGTGATGACGTGCAGCCTGTATAATTACTTGTCATTACTGACATTCTCCACAGGTATAGTACAACATCCCAAAGTACCGTGCCGTCTTCAGGGCTGACTGCATATTGCCAATTGCCAAACATTAGTATTCCAGTGTAAAACCCCAAAACTTCTCTGTGAATACCATTAGAACTGGGTCACTACCAGAAGGTGCGTGACAGCTTAACATGCAGAACAACTAAAGCCATTTCCTCTGTCTCACGCAGAGCAGAAACACTGAGAGTGAAGATTATGTGTACAGTGTGAGCAGAATGACAAATGACGAGCCCTAGCGATATACTTGTTTGGTGGCTTTAGTGATGCCGTTCTGCCTTGGAAACAGTGAAAACAGGTGATCAGCTGGGGTTTGTGCTGCACTGGTCTTGCTAAATGTTCAAATTTAATAGGAATTCAAATGATTAAGTTTTTAATTTTTTAGAGGAAATTCTCTTGCTCAGCAGCATCCTAATAACATCCACTATTTAGCATTTTCTATTCTTTTTGGAATAAAGAGGTTTTTACCTCACAGCTTCAAGCTGTATCTCTCTATTCCAGCTCCAGGAATTATTGCTGTAGTTGTGTGCTCAGCAGTCATAAAAATGCTGCAGATGGATTTATGGCATTTTAGGAAACCTTATGGAATAAGCTGGACTAGACTCTGCGTTCTGCGTTACCAAAGTCCCTTTAAACCAGCTAAAGAATAGAAGGGAACTCCTCCCGGATAGCATCGTTCCAGCTACCTTCTGAATCAGAAGGGCATGCTGAGACTTTCTTTATACGGAGAAAACGGAAGGTGGAAGCCAGGGAAAGGAAGTATCTGGAACTGCAAAAAGAAACAGAATTAACTGAGTATTAGCTGAGTGTAAGTGAGCTACGCAGGCTGTCTGTGGTCCCTGCTTTTGCTCCGTGTTAGTCAGTCTGGATAACATAAGAATCAGCTCCTTTATAAGCCTTTATTAATTACTCTTCTGTCTTTTTTGGATGTGACAGAGTGTTTCTGGTGACAAACACCATGAGCATAGGCGTGGCATCATTCATCTGTACCCCTTTTCCCTGCCAAGCCTCTCATGATTCGTTCACTTTTATTTAAAGTTGGAAAAAAAAATAAACAAATGGAAAAGAAAAATCAGGTCACTCAGATGGGTCTGCAGATTCAGGTCATATTCAGTGATGCATTTAAATGGAAAAAATATGGGACAATCAGTAAAATGAGGAGTATTTTTCCTATTCCTTCAACGTGAAACCTCACTGTTCTTTTGTTTCAAAAATATTGGAAAGACATCTTGATTTCAAAATACCAAACAGAGATTAAACAGAGAAGGAAATAATCCCGAAGCAAACCAAATGCAATCTTTTCGCAAAATGTCCTATTAACCCCCAAACGGCTTCTTGATTCGGAGTGGTCAAAAAGTTTTTTAAATTGTTTTGAGTAAAACACTGAACCAGAAGGCAACTATTTGCAATTCTATCTAAAACTAACAACCGAAGATTCGTTTTCAGTATGTGTCAAAGGCAGGGAGTGTTATTCAGATTCTCATTGTGACTTTTCTTCCCGTATTCATGAATTCCTTTTTGGCACATGAAGAGAACAGGTGTGAGCCAGCGCAAGGTGGCCCATGGGCCATAACCAACAAATAACTAATTGGCATCTGTGTTGCAACAGGGCAGAGATCCAGCCAAATTATGACGAGGCACCGTGCCATCCTAATAGACTCACATTATCATGGATGCCAAGATTCCATAAATTTGCATTATTTACATTTAGTTAGGGCAGGATTCCCAGCTGGGAAATTCCACATGGTTGTCCATCTCTATCATATACAATTACAATGGAAAAAGATCTCTGTGACTAATCCAGCATCCTGAAAGAGTCTTCAGCAAGAATTTAAGTATTCTTAATAATGATTTTAAAATGGTCCCACTCATTGACGTCAATAAATCATTTGAAAGTGTATTTTTGTTGTCTTTGTTTGTACAAAATGAATAAAAAATTTATAAAATCAGACTTCTGGTTGAAGATGCACGAGCCTTTTCAGTTTGGGGAAAAGAGAGAGCGAATTGTTTTTTCTGCAGCGGTAGCAAGGTTCCTGACTATGTCATAGTGGGAAAAAAAAAAGACAACTTTGAAGTTGCTTTTGTGAAAAATGAATGCAGAAACTGGTAACTTCCACCCTCAGGAAATAATTTGCAAAGACAAAAATGCTGAGAGGGTGTGAATTATTGAGATGAAACACAAGATGACGATAGATGCTCTGATTACCCCTTGAGGTAACGAATCTCTGTAGGTTTGTCTTTTCTACTGAGAAGATGGTGAACGACATCTTAATCTGCTCCATAATAAAGTGGGCTGTAGCACTTGATGGCATGGCTGGTAAAACCTTTTCAGCAGCTCGGTGTTCCTGCAGAGGGCTGGGGGCTGCCCGGAGACCCTCGTGTCAGCCGAGCACCGTGGGGGGCTAGGGCTTGGTTCCCACCATGTCATGCTGGAGGAGCTGGTGGGCCTCTTGGAACAAAGAAGCATGGTGTTTTCCCAAATGCTACCTACTACCGGTGACACTACATGAAAGGTCCTGCACTCACCTTTCATTTTCAGGGGCAATTAAGAGTTTACTGATGCAGAAGCCTGTTGCTGCTGGACACCTGACCTGATCCTGGATGATGATGATGGGGGCAGAAACGCTGCCCTCACCCCCTGGAAACACTACTCCATTGTGCATCCTCAGTTTACACCTCTGAGCCTCCTGCGGCCGCAACGAGGCATCCCTGCTCCTCCTCTCCCAGCACGGAAGCAGAGCCTCTGCAGCCAAAGGCATCGCTTGCCTGGGCAGCCCTACTGGGAGCCAGGCTGCCAGACTGGTGTGGCCCCCCCCGGTTTATTCCTCCTTCCTGTGAGTGTTCTCATCGGCAGGAGAGCAGGGAGCCGTGCAGCGTGCGGGGCCCTGCTGCCCACCGGCCAGGCCGGCATCCCCTCAGCGGTGCCCACCGCCTTCCAAGGCGCCCTGCGTCCTTTCCTGCCTCACACCTTGTGACAAGTCTCGTGTGCTCCCCTCCTTAGAATCACAGAATCGTAGTTCAGTTTGGAAGAGTCCTCTGAGGTCATTGAGTCCAACCGTTAACCTAGCACTGCCAAGTCCACCACTAAACCATGTCCCTAAGCACCACATCTGCCCGTCTTTTAAATCCCCCCAGGGATGGGGACTCAACCTCTTCCCTGGGCAGCCCGTTCCAATGCTTGACAAACCTTTTGGGGAAGAAATTTTTCCTAATATCCAGTCTAAACCTCCCCTGGTGCAACTTGAGGCTGTTTCCCCTTGTCCCATCACTTGTTTCTTGTGAGAGAGACCAATCCCTCCCGGCTCCCCCCTCCTGTCAGGCAGCTGTAGAGGGCGATAAGGTCTCCCCTCAGCCTCCTCTTCT